GTGGAAGTGTATTGTAAGTACTTAAGGGCTTGCTAGCCAACACCTTTTCAGTATAAGCAGTGGGCTGGTTGCTGAAGTTAAGACAACTTACGATAAAAGCACAGACCACCCTTACATGTGGTCTGTTGTCTTTGTTCAGCCTGGAGAAAACTTATAACAAGCATCACACCCCCTTCCAGTGGGTCATGGCATGCACTCGATCCCCTTGTCCAGATCATCAGTCATGGTATTAAACAGGACTGACCCCAACACTGAGCCCTGGGGAACACCACTGGTGACTGCCACCAGCTGGGTGTTATTCCATTCACCACCATGCTCTGGGCCAGACCCTCCATCCAGTTTTTCACCCAGCAGAGGATAGACTTGTTCAGGCCATGAGTAGCCAGTTTCTCCAGGAGAATGCTGTGAGAACAAGTGTCAAAGGCTTTACTTAGGTAAAGGATGGTGAAGGGTCTAGAGAGGAAGCCATGCAAGGAATGGCTGCAGTCACCTTGTTCTGCGTGGAGAAGAGGAGACTGAGCAGGGACTTCATTGTGGACTTCAGCATCCTCAGGAGGGGCAGGACTGAGCTCTGCTCTGGGGGGACCAGGGACAGCCCCCAGGGAATGGCTGGAGCTGTGTCAGGGCAGGCTCAGGGTGGATCTCAGGGAAAGGTTCTTCCCCCAGAAGGTGGTTGGCACTGAACAGGCTCCCCAGGGCAGTGGGCACAGCCCCAAGGCTGCCAGAGCTCCAGGAGGGTTTGGACAATACTCTGGAGCACTTGATATGATTACTGGGGTGTCCTGTGCAGGACCAGGGTTTGAACTTTGATGATCCTATCTAATCCCATCCAACTCAAGGTATGATTCTATTAATCCATGAAAGTCCAGGTAAACAACATCCCCAGCCTTTCCCTCATCCACTAAGCAGGTCACCTTGTCAGAGAAGGCCAGGTTAGTCAGGATAGCTTTAATGCAGGATAGCTTTACTGACAGGTACAGGTGGATGATAACCAGGGAAACATAATGACTTGTTTTCTCCATTTGTATTCTCAGAAGTGTTTAGTTTCAACTCTATTCTCGTTCCCTCCACATTCCCTGAATGTATTAATTTGGGGCACCCTTGTAGCCAGTCTGTATATCAGAGGAGTAAATGCTAAATCAGGCCTCCACTGCAAAACCTTGTAGATATGAAGCACTGTGTTTACACTGATAAAGAAATTGTTTATGTCTTCATGCTAATGCTCCTAGGATTATCTGCCTGTTAAAGATACCAGAAATCTCTGTGGATTTTGAATTATCTGGATCATTGCTCAGTGTAAATTGCATCAATAAAATAAAGCCACTGGCAAGGCTGTTCAAGAAAGTTGGTCATTGTGGAGGCTTTATGAAAATTCATTAATTTAATTTCAGGTTGAATGGGATTTTGTCATAGAACTTTAATCCTAGGCCATGGGGATGGATTTATTCTCTTACAAGTAGAATCAAGGTGGTTTCCTTCTTACTTATTCACTGATAAGGGAAATCAAGAAAGAAATTCCTTCTGATATAACAGTATTGCTGACTGCTGTTCATCTTCCAGAATTAGATATCTGATTCTGGAAATGCAAAAATAACAGACACTTTGTTATTTTTCATTTTGAATACAGCACTTCTACTGCAGACTCATCCATTCACTTATAGAATATGGTACTAGTGGATTAGACTGTAAGTGTTAATTGATTTACTGCCAGAAATAACAGATGATTATGTAGATCTCCAACTGCTAGTTTTGCTGGAGTAGTGTAGGACTCATTACTGATATAATCAATACAGGAGTGCCTTTAGTGTTGTATGTACTAAACTGAATTTAGTATTGTATGTACTTGAATACCTTGTAGGTTCTGGGCTTGAAATGATCCCTTGAGAGTCATTAGTGTCAAATTACTGATCTCTCTGACCTCAGAAATCCGCACTGTGGCTATGTAAAATGCTATGGTTTTGTGTTCAAAATGCTTTGGGTGATTCATAATGTAATAATGGAACCTATCACTTGTTTTGAATATTTCCATTATTTCCTATAAGAACCCTGTTGAGAAAATCTCCTGAAATCCTTCGGATTTCTCTATAGTATATTATGAAAGCTGATTTCAAAAGTGAAGGAAGAAACATACATGTCAGAAAATACTGTTTACAGTTGGTCTTGGAGCTAGTTCTAGCCAATTTCTACAGTATGATGTGACATAACTACTGATACCCTTTAGACCTGAATTACTGGAATTTAAACTTTGGGAACTTTGAATCAAAGTCAAAACCAGTCACTGGTATTTAGTTAAAAATTAGCTATTCCTGGTTTGTACTGCATTTTTGATAATCAAGGTGATATATAGGATGAAAGAGGATGGACAAATAAAATAACTACCTGATTTATTTTGTTCTCAGTCAGATTTTCTCATTAGAGGTTGTCTCTTGGAATGATTTGCTTCTTATTCCTTTCCATGTTCTAATTCAAAAATTGTGTTTCTCACAAGCATTGAGTTTGTCTTACCCAGATGACTAGCTAAGTGGTTGGAAAAATAATCTGAAAAAGATATTGTCTTTAGTTGGAGGTTAATAAGAATGAACTTTGCTTCTGGCCATTATACTACCCCTTCCACATCACTGGTGAGGATTATGTGATGGAACAGCTGAGAGCTGCTTGGTTTCAAGAAATAATTGACCTTACACAAATCCTGGGATCTTGGACTGGCTTGGCTTGGAGGGGATCTTCAGCTATCACCTTGTACAGCCCCCTTGCCATTGCCAGGAACACCTTCTGCCAGACCAGTTCCCCAGTGGAACTGCCAGGGCTGGGTCGTCCCCCTGAGCTCGGGGTAGTCTGTTCCCGTGTCCCTGGCTTTCAGAGCACCACCTGCACACTGCTGGCTCGTGTCAGTGTTTTATGGTGTTGGGTCCCCCTTGGATGTCGAGCCGTTGACTGTAACTCTTTGGACATGGCCGTGATTACTTATCCTTCTAATAGCCCATCCATCAAGCGTGAGGGAAGTGTCAATATTTATTTTCTTTTGGACAACTCTCTGCTAATGCAGTATCAAGTAGTAAGCATTTATTGCAACCAGAATTATGTGCAGTAAATAAGATACATTTTTTACAGAGAAGGAGATCTTTCTGGGTATGTTTTGGAAAAGCAAGAAAGCTTTTAAACCATAAAAGATGAATGCTTTTACTTATTGTTACCAAATTCTCTATCTTTGTTGTATGTAGGGTTGTCTCAGGCTTTGCACTGGCGACAGTGTCACTAAAATGGATACCTAAGACATAGAGCTGAATCCTAAACATTTTCCAGTCTAATGCATATCTGTCATATACATACCTAAGACTTCCTTTCATCTTGACTACAGTATCTCCTTGCCCGTGTTTCCCTTGCCCCCTTCTGGCTATTCAGAGGTTTTGTACATTTCAAAATAAAATAAAATCTGCTAAATTCTATCATGGATCTGGTAAAGTGCTCAGAAAATGAACAAGAAACAAAAAAATAATCCAAACAAATAAGCAAAAAAAACCCCTAAAGACAAGTCACAAAACTGTTGGAGGCCATATTCAGACTGATGATGCATAGCAATTCTGTCTTGCCTTTCTTCTATTGCATGGGTAGTGATGACTGTTACACAAGGGTAGGGAGAAAATAGTTTTGAAATTATTCTTCACATACATAAAGAGTGTTTGATCACTTTTATCCTTAGGAAAATTCTGGTTACAGAGAGGGTCTCTAGATAATATATTTTGTAGTATTACAGGTGAATATATGGGGTTTTAAGCGCCTTCCTCATTTAGCTGTCATAGGCTGGCATGTTAACTGGTCAAGTCCTTGTCAGAGCTTTGTATATTTATTGTCACTGGTCAAGATTTTTGTACTTCATCAAGATTTTGTACTTCATCTCTAGCAGAAGTGATATCCCAGGTTTGTTGTTGCTAATGCCTCCTTTATTTTGTTTTCAACTTGCAGTTTTGTCCCTTATCTCATTCTGTTTGGTAAACTGACCTTTTTGGCAGAAACTAATTGTTTGAACCCTTCATGTTTCAGACATCAGTGTTCTGAAAACAAAATTTAAGTAACAGTTGAAAAGGACAACAAAAGTATGTAAGGTTCATGTTCATAAATTGATTAAGGCCTGTCTAGAGAATTAGAATTTAATAGATTTTAGCTTTTACTTTTGATGAATTTAGGGGCTTATACATTTTGAAAATGCACCCTTTTATGTCTTTTCCTTATGAATACAAAAGTTGCATGTAAATTACTGTTTTGAAACTGTACTGCCACAGCTTTTCCCTTCCTCTCTAGTTTTAGGGAAGTCACTGCATGGCAACAGAACAGCAGTTTCTCCTGTTGAGGGCCGTTTAGGAAAAAATATTTACAAGATAGGAAAAGGATAGTTAGACATTTAACGTAAATCTGCTAGGTAGTAAAAGAATCCTAAACTATGTCAAATAAGGTGTCCCAAAGGCTTGTCACTTATTTTGGTAGCAGTGAATTTTCTTAGACCTGGTGCATTCTGCTAATTGTATCTTCTCTCTCACATTAATCAAACACTGAACACATGGAATGAATATATTTAGTTCCAGGACCTCTGAAGTAGTTGCTTAGGGATGTTCAGCAAAAGCATGCATAAGTATTCGGGTCTCTGAAAGGAGAAAATGAGGTAATGAGACTTTTATAATTTTTTTGGTCTCTAAACCTTGTCAGACTGAAGTGGCTCCCAGAGGATTGAAACCTCCTGAACGCCTGTCTGGTTCTGGTGTCCCCACTGCTGCTGGGCAGCCGCTGAAATCGTGTGGTGTGTGAACCCACCTTTGGCTGCAGCAGCTGCAGCATTTTCCCTGTGGCTGATGGGAGCTGCCTGCTCTTCTGTGCCGATGGTGAAAAATGGCCACGACCCATCAAAAGATCTCGCCCCAGGCAGAGTTCAACAGCGGTCATTTATTTTTACACAGCATGTCGTAGCCTAATACTTTTTTTATTGCCCTTCTGTTGATTTCTCACAGAGTTTGCTGTGCCATCTCCTTTCTTCTTCTAAGTGGGAAAGTAATGAAGCTGAAACCAGTCCATTCATATCAACTCTGGGCTGCACGTCAGCAGATTATTATTGTCACTTAGTTAAAAATGTAAGTATTTTGTGCAATTGAGATTTTGTTAATAATAAATCACCACTTTATAAGCACATACATGGAACTGTCATTGTGATAAGGAACATGAACTAAACTTTGTTTATCTTTTCTTACCTTAGTTACTTTTACAACCTTTTAAGGGAAAAAAAAGAAGTGGGAGATCTCTGGATATTTTTTTATTAGATTACACTCTAATAGATGTTCATAAAAACAAAATTCCCACTGCTGTTGTGTTATAGCAAAAAAAACCCGAACTGTCCTATCATTATTTTTCTCGTGAAATCAAAAATTATATGTATTATTTTGTGTGTGTATGAATGTAACTTCTGAATGTTTCTTTGACTGTATCCACTGCATTTAAAATGGTAGAGGAGCCCTGAATCTTATATTTAATATATAAAAATAGTGGGAATAATATTTCATAGTATTTTTTACTATGATTAGGTAAAACATTTAAAAATTAGTAGTCATGCTCTTCTGAAAATTTTGCCTTAACTCTTGGTGAAGAACTAAAAGGAATGTCTTTTTAACTTTAAAATGTCTAAGGCATAAGATGTGTTAACAAAACCATTTTGCAGCATAGTTTATTCAGTGATCTGGAGAGCTTTAATTTGGCATCAGTAGTTAAAAAATCAAAAAATCAAACTAGATGACCAGAGAAGGTTATTAACCTTTACAGTACATCAGTCACGCAGAGAACCATGCAACTAATGTATGCTTATTGGCAGAATGTGTAATTTATTTGGTATGATTTATTTTTATTTTATTTTACAGATGGTCTTTTCATTAGTAGCAGAACTCAGAGAAAATCAGTTCAATGGACTTAACACTCAGAGGAGGTAGGTGTTAACTACACATAATTTTGATATGTTTTGGTTTGGATCATTACAGTTCAGTGAGGATTCTTTTACAGTCTTGGGCTCCTTAGGCTTCAGCTGAAAAGTTTTGGATTTTTATGCAGATAATTTAAGGTGTGAACGAGTTTGTTAGGTTGGGCTTTGCATAAGAGTTTAGACTTAACCTAAGAGTCATAGAATGGTTGGAAGAGACCTTCAGATATTATCTAGATCAGCTCCCCTGCTGGTGTTCCCTGCAGGGAGACCTCCAGGAGATCAGGTTGCCTGTTATGACTCCCTCTACCAGGCAGGAGTAACTTTTGTTTTATTATGAAATCCACTTGAGTGAATAAAAGTAAAAAATAATAGTAGGTGATCAGAGTTTGGAGATATATGTATGTATATAAATATATAAATTATTTCAGAACAATTTGGTTGCAAAGGAAAACAGGTATGGAGCCATTTGGGTTGTTACAATTTTAAGTAACACGGCAATATAAAGGTATTGCAAGGAAAGCAGGTTTTAGCCCTGTGGGTTGTAATATAGCCACCCAAGAAAATGTGTAAGAGAAAAGAGAGAAAGAAAGAGAGAAAGAGCACCAGGGAAATGTGTAGGGGAAAGGAGAGAAAGTAAGGGAGAGAAGAGTAAAAGTCACCACTCAGGTCTCTGGCGAATTGGTGGCTGTTGTCGTTGGTGGTGTCTCGCCTGTTGGGGAGTGGTGTGGGAGAGCAGCCTGCAAAACATACAGTTCAGGGGGGTTATATCCCCTGAGGAGCTGTCCTGGTGCCCCCACCCGGGTGCTGGTGTGGAGGGGCGGGCGGCTGTTTTGGCAGAGCCGTGATTGTTTGGCTCAGGCTGGAAGCGCTGGTTTGTGCAAGGTCATCAGGGCTTGGTGGATGTGGGTGCAGGCACCCCTGCTAAAAGCAAGGCATCAGTGATGGATGTGTGCATAAAAATCATAGAGAATCAGCCGGGTTGGAAAAGACCTCTGAGATCATCAAGTGCAACCCTTGATCCAAGCACAATTTTTACCCTATGACTGCCTCCTTGGGCTTTTTTTCTAAGGATGAAAGCCTGAGAAAGTGGATGGTCTGGAAACAGCAAAGTGATTTGGCCAGACCTCCGACCCAGATTCGCAGAGATGCTCATAAACACCCTGCAACATGTGTGGTGTGTTTCGATATGTCTAGGTGTAGTCTGTGAGAACAATCATTTCTTCATCAACATCACATAAATAGAGTGAATTAAGCCCAGATCTGTGACCATAAAAAGGGAACACATTGCCTAATGCTACTGTTGTCACTGCTTTTGACATGATCATACCTTTTTGCTGTGTGATTTTGTCTTTCTACTGACTTTCAAATGCAGATCATAGCCTTTTGTCAATACTTTAAAAATTATCTCATTTGAATGTCAGTGGATCCTTTTGATTGCACTTAAGAGAACTGCAGCTAAAAAACAAAAGCAAAAGTAGGGATAGATAATTTTAATATAAACTATGTAGTCAAATTTTGTCTTCTGTTTTAAATTAGTTTATTACATAATCATTAACAAATTGTCATGCAATAATTATTAATTTATAAATAAATTACTATTGTGTAAATAATTAGACTCCTGGTGATATGCAATGAACTAAATAAAAATATTTTATAATTAAATAATTAATAAATAAAATATTACCTAATAATTTTTCTGTAGTTAGGTATGTATCTCTTACGTTTAACCTTTTGCAATTAATTTTGTCTTTTTTTAGGTTATCAGTTTAGAGATTAAAAGGTTTGATTTTTCTGAAATAGGAACTGTGTTTATTTTTTCCTCAGTGTTTCAGCCAGTCGAGTGAATGCTGTGTCCATTTTCTGTGTCCCTGTCGTTACTTTGCCTGACCTATCTCCACTGCTGGAAACTCTTCTTCTTTACCATGGAGGTTCACCAAAAGAAATTCTCTGTCCAGAGTTTCTAGAGGCTGTGAATGAGGCCTTTTTAAAGTAAGTAGTGTGGTCTGTGTAATGCTTATACTCTTTCATCAAGATTATTAATTCAATTAAATGTCTTTTCTCTGGGTTTATACGCTGAATGCACTGTGCACCTGCTTTCCAATAAAATATTTCCCTTGTGGTTGAATAGCAGAGCTGAGGTTGTAGGGCAGAGCAGAATTTTGTATTGCTGATGCCAAATTGTGGCATAACAGCTTTAAATACAGACTGGGACTTTGTCCCACTCTTTCTCTAAAATGGAGGTTAAAGTCTTCAATAGATTTGAGTGATTTTGTGAAAGATGTGATCTTTTTTCATAGAAATATCATTTATCTTTCATGTAAATGTATCACCATTCCTAACCTGACATTTTGGGAACCGTTTCATTTTGCTTTGCACAAGGTAGATCCTTATGTTTGATGTTTTTGCACTTCTTCTGTGTGTGTGTGTTCCTGGTTCCCAAGATTTTAAATTCTCCAGTTTTTCAGCAGACTACTTTTCATGAGTCTGAGAGGAGCAATTTGTGAAATACAACTTTGCTTGTTTTGCTGCCACTAAACCCACTGTTCTGATAAAATCAGTCTATGGATGAAAACCAGCTGAGTGAAGCTGAACATCAGCAATATGGGCTACGCCAGAAAAGGGAAGATGACAGAGAAAGCACAGCCTGGTTTTGTTTGAGAATTGCTTTATTCAAGTTGTAGCTGAGGGGCTGTATTATAAACAAATCTTTTTATGCTAGAAAATGTCTTCTGGGAACGCTTTACCTCAATTATCCATTTCTCTGCTATTTTAAACAAAGCTTTAATTGCTTCCTCTCTACTCATCATAGTTTCTGAGATGTTCCAAAGCGGGTTTTTGTAGTGCTCCATTGAGGGCTTCAGAAAAAATAAATAATTAATGGAAAGGCACAGCTGCTAATTCGTACACATTAACAGAAGCTGAGGAAGAGGAATGAAAAAGGAATGTGGGGTCAAAGATGGGCCCAAAAAAGGCAGAGCAGTCTTTCACTTTTTCACTTGTCCACCTTTCATGGTTTCATGTTGTACAAGTTGCACAAGCAGTAGTGCAGTTTGGAAGAGTTCCATAGCAGGTTCTCAGGTTCAGAGTGGATGGTCCTTCCTCATTTCAGTAAGCTCATGGGCAGTCCATCATGACAGACTTCTGACACTTCGTAATGGGAGGATGACCATCTCTGGACCAAAATAAACGTCTGTTTTCTTAACTTTTGAGCTACTTACTTATCCTAGTCAGCAAAAATACTTCAGTTCATATGGCTTTTGACTAAGTGACTCCAGCAGGGTCCTTAACACAAGTGCATGATTTCCCTCAGAGCAGGTGTAGGCTCACACGTGCTTTGCAAGAGATGTTCCTGGGCTGCCACTGAAGTTCGTGTGGTCTTAACATGAATGTGCTTGCATTTTATTTTTTCCCTCTCAAGACTGAAGTCTATTTTCCCTGACTGTCGCTGTGATCTGAACACATCTTCCTTCTGAACACGGGTGAAACCTGCTCCAGAAAACAGGGTTATTAAATACTGGTGCTTGCAGGGCTCCACAGAACTCAGCATTGTCCCAGGGGGACCATCTGCAAGTTCAGTGTAATCGAAGGGGTATAATCACTACACTTTGCTTCCTGTGTGGTTTTTAAATCTTAGAGTTGGAACATCTCTGTAAGTTTATTAGCTTTCACGCTTGGCATATAATATCTATAATATTATAGTGTCTATAATATGTACCATGTTACCACTAAACAACAAAAAAATGGCTGTGGCAAACCTAAATAATCTCTTGTCATTCTTGATTTACTTTGATGTGCATACATGCTTTAATAGTGATACTAAATCAAACAGCATCCTGAAATTGAGCATTGCTTTCAATTTTGAAATTCTGGGTACTTTAATATATTCCTTGTCTACACATGTACACTTTTGAAGTCATTGCATGGTATTGAATGGAAAAAAAATAGAGCTTTTCAATGGAATTCAGAATTCTGAAGGCTGATATTTAAATGAACGTATGGCAAAATAAATATGCTGAAAATAGATCCTAACATGGTGTTAAGTATTCTTTCTGCCAGTACTTTTCTTTTTTGAATCAATAGCTTTAGTTTGCATGTCCTCTCCAGACTAATTTTAGGGTTTTAAATTTAAGACCAAGGCAAATATTTCTTGTTATTTATGTATTCTTTTGGTTTTAACCTTCTAATTTGTGTCTGTCATAATTAATAGCTACAAGAGTATTCCAGGATGTTTTGTGCTGTGATTTCTCTTTTTGGGTGGTTACTTTAGCATATTTTGATTTGTGCTGTTCCACACTGTGCCCTTTTTTCCCTAGCAGTACAACACTATACTTCAGCTGAGTTATAGATGAAGGCTTTAGTGAGGAGATAACTTGCCTTCTTAACCATTTCTCTTTAAAACAGCTCTGGGCAGTGTTGGAGGGTAATTTTTTTTTTTTCTTTTGTTATTAATGTGTTTGAATTTTTTCCTTACTTCTCTGCACAGACAGGTAATGCTTTTGTTATACAGCAGAAATATTATGCAGGACCTTCCTGCTTATCTGTCAGCAGCTGTCTGCAGGTACTAGTCCAGGTTTGAAAGAGCACAAATGTTGGGCAGGACCTTTCCCTAGAGAGAATGGGAACTCCAGACTTAAACCTTCTGTTTCCATTTGCTGGGATCCATCATGACCACATTTTTAGGTTTTAAACACACGTGGTAAAGTTACATTTGTAGATGATCCCCTGTCACCCTTTGCTATGATTTGATAATAAACGTAGTGCTGTAAACAAATTTTCTCTCTTGCTTCAGGTTGCTCTTTGTGTCTTCTTTTCCCTCAATATATTAAAAAAAGGAGGAAATTTTTGTCTTTCTTACAGTTGCTCAGGGAAAACAGTGTTTTTCTCTCAAACCAGGAAGAAGATCTCCCTTCCTGAATCTGCTGTCTTCAGCCTCTGGCTTCGTCACTTACCAAGCCTGGAAAAAGCTACCTTGCATCTTTTAGACCGGTTGGTTTCCGTCCAGCTGAACTCACTGGAAGAAGTGGCTTGTGTCATAAAGGACTCATTACTGGTAGGTGCAACATGTAGTACATTTGACACTGCTCTTTCAGGCGGGACAGTTTTCAGGTATGTCAGCAGATTTGAAGGAAGTGGCTGCTGTATGACATGTGACTTGTTAATGCAAACCAAATATTGAGTCTTACAAACATCAATAATTTTTTAATTTTTACACGGAATTGGTAAAGAGAAAAAAAGATTTCATCCAGCTTTGAGGAATGGATAAAGAAACGATAATCTCACTGGTGAGGCAGCTGAGTACCTGCCTCTGTCTTTAAAAATTATAAACTTGGGCCAGAGAGGATTTGAATCTGTTTTCGCTCCAATCTCTGTGCCCTTGGAGTTCAGCTGTTTAAACTGTTGAAATTCCTTGTAGATTATTTTATTATAGGCTGCTTAGTTACTTGGGATTTTTTGCAAACCTGAACAAAATTCTTAACGCAAGACATTTGCTAAACTGTAATTAAAATTTGCTTTAAAATGCTGTTATTTAGTGTACCAAAAATCTTTCCTAATTTTTCTATATCAGATAATCTGTGAGTTGTACATACTGTATGGTACTACACCATATACCAGCTCAGGACAAAAATATGTATATCTTTTATAAAAGATCTAGGTTACATACATAAAAATAAGTAAAATATTTAAGAATTGGTCAATTGTTATTTATTAAAAATGTTCATACTTAGGTTGTCTTTGCTTGCTTTGTTTTGTACTTTCAAAACAAGATATTCACTTGTGGCAAGAGCAGTTGAGCAGCTTTGAGTGCTGATTTGGAGAGGACGTCCTGAGGACAAGGCGTGGAGTGAATGGAGGCATTAAGGAAGAGAGAGTTGGCAGATGGATAGTGCTGTTTGATAGGCAATGATAAGGGGGAGAGTGCATAAATGGGAGATGGCATAACACTTAAAACCAATGAGATGAGAGCTCCAGAGAGGCAGTGTAGAAGGAAAATATGTGATCCAGAAATTGTGTTCTAAATGCATAATGATATTTTGTATGTGTACAGGGTACTGTAAAGGTGCCTGTGTGACATTAAGTCAGTCAGCACTTTGAATCCAACAGTAAAATTAATTTAGCCTGCCTGAAAAATATTTGGATATTTATTTAGGAATGTGGGTGTGCATTTTTTGGCATTGGGATTACAGCATTTATAGGATAGAAGCTCTGTTTGCCTTATGGATATGGTAATAGAAAGAGGAGTCATGAAACAAAACTATATTTACACTTTTCTATTTGGGAGAAAACCTTTGGAATACAAATAGGCTGAAATATGTTAGTGATTTGATTATATTATATTATAAGAAGGAAATTTCAGTAATCTGTCATAAATGTATTATCAGAGTAATTTATGTAAATAAAATGTCTTGATACAGTAACCATTCTGTACATAAACCTCATAGAGATCTGAGGTAGTCAGATGATTGTAAACCACCATACTTAACTATGAAACTAGATATGAAATACTCACATATTTTAATTCTGAGAGTAATTGTAGTGTGATGGTCCACTAACTTGTGTTTATATGGTATGCTGTTATGTTTGTGGGTTTGGGGCTAAACCGAAATTATTATTGGAAATTCTGTAATTACTCAGAACTAATAAAAACAAGTGAAGTGAAGGGGCAGATGCACTTCAGCTGGGCTATCAGTTTGACTCTCGACACTGGCATGTCCCCCCAGAATCATCTTTGAGAGCATGGTCATGTCCCCTTCCCCCTTCCAAGGGCAGGAGAAGAGCTTTCCCCAGTCCAGCCCAGCACCACAATCACACTGTGCTCTGCAGTTACAGCCCGGGCTGTTAGCTTTTGCTTCAGCATTATGGAGCAGAGACAGCTTTACTGGGTGATATGGTGACTTGTCTGGCCTGACAGAACACCAAGCTGCAGACTGCTCTGGTTCCCACATCCTTGCTCTGCCCTCTTGCTGTGCCTTATTCCTAGGTTCTGAGTTTAGCTGGATCCACACTCACCTTGCATTAGGAGCTGTGCCAGCGAAACCGGCAGTAAAGGAGTAAAGGAGGAAGGATGGAGAGAGAAAATGTGAAACCTTACATTGCAGCTAAGCTACAATTAGTTCCCATGGTATTGCTCATCTTCAAAATCTATGTTACTGTAGTAAAATATTTAAATAGTGCTAATTTATTTATAATATTGATGGATTCAGGAACTTTTAAAAGTTCTGTAAAAGTATATCTGGGCTTTCAAAATAAGTATTCTTCAAAATAAAAACATACTAGTCATTTTTTATAACAAAAAAAAGTGATTGGCGTTTCCTGTTTTTAACTGGAAAATATAAAATTCAGAAATGTGAATATACAATTGGGAAATACAGGCAACATTTGAAATACAGCAGCATAGTATTTTCTTCAAGCTAGATGTGCTTAACTCATAGAAGCTTCGTGTCCAATTAATTGCAAGTTAGTCTGGAAGTCAAGTGGTACCACCTCAAATCTGTTGCTGTGTATCCTTGGGCACAATTTATTTCCCCGTGGTTGCTTTTGGTTGCTGCAGAGCATTCTATGATTCTATTCTGTTCCTCTTGCCACTTACTTTTTTACTGTAGATAAAAATATATTTCTCTTATTTCTTTATTCAGTTCTGGCTTTGTGTTACAAATTAATTATTTAGGATTCTCCAGATATCAAAATAGTATGGTTCTATAAAACCTGTGTCTGTGACACTTTATGTTAAAAGTATATTTTTTTCTATTTTCCTTTTTTCAAAAATCCCAGTGATGGGGGACAGAGTCTTGAAATATATAATCACAATATCACACAGGCAGCTCCAGTTCTCTATGTTTGAATCTTTTTGGGTTTGTTTGTATTGTGCATGTTTTTAAAGTGATGGAGCAAGCTCCTGGTAGGCAGTGTTTGATTTTCAGTTTGCTGCTGTCTGGCAGGACAGAGTAGAAAGTTTTTCAGTGTTGCATGCAGCACATTCATTCTGGTGGTGCTCCAAAGAGCTGTGATGTGATGCTGATACGTGAGGCAATGTGTTAGTGGACCCTTCTGGTCTGTGTTGAACCTGTCTAAGCGACCGTGGGTGTGTCCGTGAGCAGGGGGAGCTCGGAGCGGCTGCGGGGCAGTGACCGAGCTCAGCCTTCAGCCCAGAGCGCTGAAGAGCGTTCTCTGCCCTCTGCTTTGCCAGAGCCACAGGAGGGGTGGTGTGGAAGGCACGTCCCATTCCAGGTTTCCGGACGGGTCTGCCCTGGCAGCGCAGTGCCACGGCACGGAGCAGTGGGGCAGAACTGAAACTGGGGTGCTGCCCGGTGCCTCCAGTGGGGCACAGGCAACTGTGGGGAACGAGGAGCTTTTCTAGATGGTAGCAGTGAGGGTCGTTTCTTTATTTTCCAGTATTATCATCTGGGGATCGTATTGAGCAAAGTCCTCGCTTTTGTCTGTGTGCAATTAAAAAATGTTCTATTATCATTATTGTTATTATTTTTAATATGATACCCTGGAGTTTTGATTTTTTAATTTTTGTAGACCTTAGAAGTAGTTATGTAGTAAATGTAGATTTTAGAGTAGCAGCATATTATCCCTTTACCCTTTAACACACCAATCACACATAGCAAACCCTGTTACCCATTCCCCTATCAACTCCCCTAAATTCCACTGGCCTGTTTAGTCTCTTTTTCAAGGTAGAATTGTAGAGGACACCCTAAAATCTACACAAGAAGATATAGCCATAGACACAACAACCTTCAGGCCTAGAATTCTGGGAGGCCTCCAAGGACATTACGTGCTCTGAGGAAGATGAAGAAGAGGGGGTCCCAAAACGCCCCCAGACCCAATTCCCAAGAGGCAGAACCTGGGTGGTGGCCGGACAGGGATTGGGTGAAAATCATTATAAAAACTGTGGACATCTCTATTTCAGGAGCGTGGGTTGGGGGTGTTCTGGAAAGCTTGGGGACTCATTAAAGCCTTTGTATCCTTATCTCCTACCTAATTTGGCTTGGAGTTTTTTTTTTCCCACACAACCATTTAGGCAACAATATTAATATTCTATAAGGTACTTTTTAGCTTGAAACAAATGGCTACAAGTTTTCTTTTCAGTTGTGCATTATGCTCTTTAAGCAGTTACAATAAATGCCATTTTATAAATGCTATGCCTCCTGAAGGTTGTAGAATGCATTTTATTAAACATGCTTTACTCTAGACGTTTCAAGAACTATATTATTTTCAGATCTTGTGGTGCTAACTTCAGAAACAGAAAGTGAGGATTTTTTTTTAACTTCAGCTTTAATTTAGTACTTTGGGGAATGTGTAAGTAGTTTTTATTCTAGATGCTCCATAAAAGCCTAAGAATATGGAATTAGAAAGTAGTGTGGTTAGTAGTGCTTGTCTAATATAACAACTTCCTCAAAACAGTCTTTTTTGTGGTAGCATGGTAAAAACCTTCACTAGTTTAAAAAAAAAAACATTTTCATGCACTGAGAGATGTAGCTTGTAGCAGCAACTCTGAAATTCACAGAAGAAGATAATACTGTGAAAAAATGTCTTGGACAAAAATGAGTGCAATACTGTTAAAGACAGAGGCAATAAAATCAATTTAATTTCTGGAATTTAGTCTTGAAGATGTACCAAGAGTCTCAAAGCACATCCAAAAGGTATTGCCTGCAAAGAGGAGAGAAAAGCTTTTTGAAAATTAGCTCCCCGTGTCTTGCCTCTAGCAATTGCATGCAGCAACCTGCTCCTTCTCTCTGCCACCTTCAGTATTCGTAGTGATTGTTGTCATAAACAGTCTGGGATCCCAGGTGTTTGCATTTATCAGCTGCTGAGCCTGCTTGGTCTTGCTGTGTAGAATCCTAAGAATGCTAATCCTGAAAAAATCTGAGGGGTTAGTAAGAGCTGATCTGAGAGTTACAGTTTAATAATGGCTATGTAATAGCACCCATGAATTAAGCAGTAAATTATAGAGTGGCAGTTGTGTGAGTTGTTTCTTTTTAATACCTTATTTTCTTTCATTTGTTTATCAACAGCCACAAGCAGCGAGCCATCCTGCCATTTTCAGAGTTGTAAATGAAATTTTCAAGTAAGTTTTGAAATTATGGTGGGGAGAGTTTCAAGTGATCCATTTAAACATTGAGGTTTTCTTCATGAGAAAAAGCAGTATTGTAGTCTGTGATGTATTATAGTTTCAGGATGTCTTTTTCTTTACCTGTATTCTTTAAAGTCCCCTTTTATGTAGTACACTGCAAATAATGAAAAATGTTTAAAATCTTGTGAAGTTTACATGAAAGTTACATTATGAGATAATTGGTACAGTTACCTACATTGTATTTTAGCCTTTTAAATTTACAATTTATTTTGTACTTCAGTAGAGACTTGTGGCTGAAATATGATTTCACGGTGAAAATTATAAATGCTGAAATGGCTTGACCCATGCCAGCATGAAGGTGTAATTTAGCAAAAACATTTGCACTTACCATTGTAGCCTCTTTTACATTATATTAAAGGTCTTCAGGATTTGTATTAGATATGCTCTTAATGGCATTAAACTATTGATCTGCCTGTGAATAATGAGTTTGGTTTCGAATGCATTAAAATTATGTTGAAGCAATATATGCTGGTTACCACATGGGGGCTTCCGATCCTTTCTACACTGTTTTTAGTGGCTTTTTCTCTGTGCTTCACTTGCCTTAATATTTTTAAGTAGATCTCCTGCCAGGGCTATCAGTATTACAGATTTGATACAACAGTAATGTATTTAGTGACTGACTTCCTTTGTTCATCAGGTGTTTTCCTTCTTAAGAAAACAGGGCTCCCAGGACATGTGTTTGGGGCTGTCTGTGTGTCTGTGTGCGTGCTTAGGTTTGTGCAGGCACTGACAGAAGAGTCTGCTGTAGAAACTCTGTATTGTGGGAGTGGAGGCACTTGGCAGCTCTTGCCCTGCAGTCCTTCCCGTTGCTGTGGTGTCTGCACAGCTGCGTGTCTTCTGAGGAGCTGAGACCACTCACTTCCCCAAAGCAAGGAGCACTTAGAAGCTGATGGCACTTAACAGGCCTGTACTGGTGTCCTAGGCTGAGGCTGCATGTTGGGATGGTCCAAGGAGACAAAATTTGTTCAAGCCTCTTGGCTTGTTTAGGGTCATGGCGTATAAAATGTTTTCTGAAAATAACATGAGACTGCGTAGCTCTCTTGCATCCTTTCCCCTCGGTAGATAGTGGAAATGGATGAGATGCTGTTTCTTTGCTGTTTCTTAGCTAATGCAGGACTTTGTCCAGCACAGTATTTCCTAATAAAACTTTGCACTGCTATTTATGTTACAAATTGTCTCTAAAAATCATCATGCTCAGCCTACATTCCTGCTCTCTTGTTTGCTTTGAATTGTTTCTCTGTAGTGTGCTTATTCCTCTACACTGTTGATATTGATATTGTAATATATTTTAAAAATACCTTGTTTCAGGTCCTCTTGGTGTTTACATCAAACTGTATATGTTACCTAGATGCTGCAGACAAATTGGTTTATGCAACTTTGTGTTTCTTTTTGTTGTATTTCTCTGATATCCTTCCAATAATTATCAAGTGGTGTGCAGACGTTAAGATTTAGTCACATGTGAGATTTTAAAGAACAGCTGATAAAGAACTTGTGGTTCCTTTCTTGGAAACGGTTATGTTTCTATAGCTGGCACAAAACTTCTTTTATTTTTGGGGATAATGTCCTGTTAGAAGGTTGGATCTAAGCATTGTGACTTTTTCTGGAATAACTTCTCCTGCCATTTGCATACATTTATTGAGGTTAATTGTGCTAAATTATTTTATCACAGGGATATTTCCTACTGTTCCTATTTCCCAGTCATGTGTCTGCGTATGTATTGTAGATGTTTACTAAATCTAGCTTATTTTCTTTTACTAGTTGCCCACAGGGTTTTTTTCTTAATTTAAAAATAAAATCTAAAAAGCCTATAAAGTTAGTAATTCTGTTAGTGTCCACACCAGTGTAATGAGCTCAGACACACCTTAAACCTACAAAGAATATACCTTTTTTTTTCTTCCTTTCAATTAACAGTGATGTGATGGGCAGACTACCTATCTGATATGTTATATTTTAACTTTTCAATGCTTAGGAATGCACTGCTGGAAACTGATGGAACTTCAGAAGTTATGACCATAATACAGGTGTTTACACAGCTCTTCATTGAGGCTCATCAGAATCAAAACAAGCAGGTAGTCCAGATCTCTTTCTTAACTTCTTTTCTGTGACAAAATACAAAATTTCACAAGAAAAAAACCAATTTTACTCTTAAGAGAGGTGACTGAATATAATGAGCTACATAAAAGCATCTCTCTACAGCTGCATAGATATGCCAAAGTTCAGATCAAACATTTTCACCTGTGCTTAAAATTATATTGTGAAACCAATATGTAAGAGCAGTTTACCAGCTGTACCCTGGTACAGCCAGGCTCAGTTCCCCTGATGCTAAAGTTTCTGGCTGTGGAGTGAACATGATCATAAGCACCCATCTTCGATAAAAAGGATGAAAAACACTAGATGCATTTTTCTTTTGCAGTAGCAGGGTCACTGATAATAAATAAAGCAGAGAAAACAACCACATCCCCAGTCCCCTAAATAATTGTAAGATACTGAATAGTCATATTTATCTGTTCAGGAGGTAAAAGACACAATACATACTGATTTCAGTTTCTGGTCTTCAATACTGGCCTCTCAGAACTTTTACTTGGTCCAGATCTTCAAATTTCCCAGCTTAATATCTCCTCTGCACAGATTTTTACACAGGTCTTACTGTACTGAATTAAGTTGAATTACTTTCCTATGTGTTAATTTAAACAAGAGCAAAATCAGTTTCTTGTTTTTCAATTTCAAAATACAGGCATGAAAAAGTCTTGCCTTGTTTATAGCTTGCAAACTTGATTTCAGGTTCCCAAATCACACTGTCATTTTGTTTAGTTTTTGAACTCCATATGATGCAAGTTTGGAAAGTACTCTGTCATTTAGTAGCTTTCACTGTAGAGTTAAGAAAATTTCCAGTTCCTTTTATTTTTGCACCTTTTGGGGAGATGTTAGTTAAGGAAATGGTTGGGACTTCTTGTAATTAGGGACGTACTGGCCTTTAATTAGCAGCGTGGTTGAGTCTGTCTTCCAGTCTTGCTTAATACAGAGTGCTGTACATTTTAATCTCGTGCCACCCTGCCTGCATGGGTGGCAGCACACTGTGTAGCCAGAGGTGGGAATCACTGGGTGAGAACAAGGTGAAGATTCCACACCCATCAGCCACCCACGAGCTAATCCTGTTGCTCAGGTGATGCATTTTCTTCAGGGTGAAAGTCCTTCACCCACTGGCATTACAACATGGACTACTGCCAATTTTTCTGAGGTGGTTTTAAATACTGAGTTTCCTCTATTTAACTTGTATGTTGCTTAATTCATGGAGTTCTAATTAAAGTGTTATTTTCAGTACTGGAATTTTAAAATCCCTTGTTTCACAGTATATGAGTCCATAATGTTAACTAACAGTTGACACGCAAAAACACAATATGGATTGGTTCCTAAACTTTAGGCCAGTCAGATGTCTGATTTTTTTACTGGTCATGCCATCACTACACATATTCCTAAGGCACCCATCTTTGTGGTGTCTGACTGCCCTTGACAGGACATGAAAAAAGTGTAAATGGAACATGGGGTTTAAACCTACTTAGGAAAAAGCACCATTTCTATAGCAGTGGAAGAAGAAATTTAGGAAAGGGTGTACTGAGATCACTGTTAGGACATGTTTCATTCTAGAATATTTTCTTCAAGTTTGTGGTGGTAGTGAAAGCTGACCTCAGGAAAATTGGGTCATGTTGCTTGTAATTTTATGAAGTTAAAGTTCATGTTTTTATTTCATGGAAATTATAATTTCTTCATGAGTTATTTTTCCTTGATCATTTCAGAATTATCATTAGTTTTCAGATTGGAAACTTTATTTTAAATACCTGGATAAATATTTTAAACCAGTGTTCAACATTATTTCCTATTATACATTATATATCCTCTTGATAAGTAGACCTTTAGAGCATTACCATACCAATGATACATAGACTGTCTGAGAAGAGTGTATATATTTGTGCGCTGAGTCGGATCCTAAGAATTTTAAGTTTGCATTTTTGAACAGATGGCAGTAAAGTCCTCAGAGTCTATAGATGTTATTATTTCTTAGTTTAATATGATCCATGAATCTGTTTACGCTGGAAAATGAAGTTAAACTAATTAGTATCTCTTTTAACTTCTGCATATTAAGGAGAAAACAGGGCAAAAGCCTAAGACTATTAAAATGTTATTTTTTTCCATGCTCTGAATCTTTTTTGATGCATATACTTTTAAAGTAATTACTTCTCATAAGCATTTCCTAAATATCCCCTTTCTTTATGCAAAATCCTAAAATGAAGTATGGTGTTAATTTTCTGTTCTCTTGCTTCAGTCTGCATTGTTAATTACTACCTTAGATGAGATTGTTCGCTGTGAGTTTGTTTTGCAAACTGACCAGAAACCATTAAAAGAGTGATTTTGTGTCTTTTAGCATGCATTTCCCTTGAAGGCATACTTCCCTTGCCATCACCAGCCTCTCGTAAGAGCACTACTCAGACGTCCTTCTGGTAAGTTTATTCATGAACTATTTGCAGCATTACCCATCTGCATGGTCTGTATATGTCTTAAAATAACTTTAAAAGGGAGGAGACAAACATTTGCCATTTCCTAAATAGGGTGTGTTTGACTTAGCAATTGTAACAATATTCTTTTAATGGATTTTTCTGCTGGAACATCCACTTCTTATTAACAATACTACAGACATGACTTTAACAAAAACTAAACCAGAAGTGAATAACAAAGAAAGAGTGCCTAACTGTGTAGGAATTAAGCCATGTTACTGGGATCTATATACTACATCTCCTTATCAGTACTGGGATCTATATACTTACATCTCCTTATTGTCGTAATGACAATTTTCATATGTCTATTACAAGAAACAGGCTTTCTGTTGGTCTCTGAAACTTGAATTCTGCTGATATTTTAGACTGCAAACCAAATTTTTTTTCAGGTTTCCATTCATATAGATCAAGAAACCACTTTTCAACATAGTTGAATTAATAATAATAATAATTTAAGCTCAGTACAAGAGTCTCCAAGAATGTTACTCCACTGATTATATATTAATATTGAGGTAGCAATTACACAAAGGAACATCAACCTCATTTGAATATTCCCAGCCATACTTCTTCACATGGCCTTGCCACTGAATTGTTCTAAGAAACACAGTAATAGATATTGTTGAAAATGGGAAATTTTAAGACAAAATTTTAAATCCTCTGTGATAACTGAATCCAGTTGCAAAAATTTCAAAGCTAGCTTGATGCAGTTAGTTTCACTGTTATGTTATAGTTGGACAGACTAGGATTTTAAAAGTTTTATTTTCCTCCTCCATCCTCAGAACTCCCAACTACATCTTGGTGTCAACACTTGAAAAACATTTCAGATACGCTCAAAGCATTAGTAGAAGATACAAACATTAGGTAAGCAGTGTAAGATTTTCTACCTTTTTGTCCTTTGCATGTTACCTTTCAAAAAAGTCATATCATTTGAAGTTTTTAGTGCCTACATTTCTTCACTTTCTTATTATTCTCTAAAGGGAGCTTTGTTTTAAAGAATAGTAATTAGATTACTTACTGAACCTGAACTTTGCCTCTGAATAAACAAAATCTTGTCCTCCTTTCAACAAATAACTAGGTGTATAATGGAAATGCTTACTTGCCTATTCTCCCACTTCTCTTCAAAAACTTTTAAAACTGTTTTATGAAGAAGCTGGGATTGCCTTTCTGCAGGGTTGTGGAAACATCCAAACTTCAAGCTTCTTGACTATTTTCATAAATAAATGCCTGCCAGACTGCAGTATCATTTGTTGCATTACTCTTTGAGCTGACACCCCATGTCTCTGACCCGTTGCCCTCGGCTTTTTTTTTGTTTTTGTTGTTGTCCAAATAGTTGCAGTAGTGACAGTTATTGTTTGTCTACATGAATTCTGCTTTGGGAGGGGACTGTATGAAAAGACTGAAAAAACATCCATGTCTATGTGCTGCTGCCCTGTAATGCTTTCTAATCAGAAGTGTGATGAGATGTGATGAGATAGAGCTCAGATGCGAGTCTGCTTAGCTCCACTCTGAGAGTGAGCTGCCCAAAGACTATGTTAAACAGCTTTTAAATTCAAAGAAACCAAATTAATTTTGATTTAAAACTTGAGATATTTCACAGAAAACACAGATCACCTAGGCCTAACAGACTTGCAGAACAAAATACCCAGCTGTCTCCCTGTGTCCTGGGAAAAGGATACTTCTGACCATGCTTGGTTTCAGTTAACTCGTGGGGGCTTTCCTTTGTTGCTGAGTGGCAGAAAAAAAGCTTTTTTTATTTCCCTCTGAGACCAGGCTGTCTGCTAGCAGCTTCTCACTTTCTGTATGAGCTGCAGTTCGGTGCTGTGCCTTGCCTGTTTGTCCCTGAAGTGTGTCAAATCTCTCTGTCCTTGGAATGTGACCAGGAGCTGACCCTGGCTGCTTCAAGAAACACATAACTGAGGCTTAGAACAAACAAATAAAACAAATACCATCCATCATAATGCATTACAATAATATAAGCATGTCTGTTCTCCCTTTGTTAGCAGCCCTTTCTTAGCTTGTATTGTCTTTTTCTCCTTTGCCTTGATAGTACACTACTTTGAATAGTATTGTGTTTGCCAGAATATACTCTTACTGCCTTTAGAACTCCTACGTTTTCTATCAAACTCCTCTCAGTTACAAAGAAAACGGATCTAACACATTTTTAAATGCTAATATCCATGAGGAAACTATTCAATTTTCTTTTATTGCTTTATTCCTGATTCTACATGCTTTCTACTTAATAAGATTTGCAGAGGAGAAAAAAATACTATTATACAGCATATCCTCTTGCTTATATTCAATCCTCTCTTTTATATAGGTTGGTTTTCAGTAGTCATATTTTACATCAAATGTGAATCACAGAATCACAGAATCAGAGAACCAGACAGGTTGGAAAAGACCTCCGATATCATCAAGTGCAACCCTTGATCCAACCCTGCCGTGGTTCCCAGGCCGTGGCACTGATGCCACATCCAGGCTCACCTCAAACACCTCCAGGGACGGTGACTGCACCCTCTCCCTGGGCAGCCCATCCCAATGGCTGAGCACTCTCCATGGAAAAAACTCCTTCCTCATATCCAACCCAAACCTCCCCTGGCACAGCTTAGACCGAGCCCTCTTGTCCTGCTGCTGGTTCCTGGGAGAAGAGACCAACCCCACCTGGCTCCCCCCTCCTGTCAGGAGTTGCAGAGAGTGCTGAGGTCTCCCCTGAGCCTCCTCCTCTCCAGGCTCAACAACCCCAGCTCCCTCAGCCTCTCCTCACAGCACTTGTGCTCCAGTCCCTTCCCCAGCCTCCCTGCTCTTCTCTGCCCCTGCCCCAGCCCCTCCATGTCCTTCCTGCCCTGAGGGGCCAGAGCTGGACACAGCACTCCAGGGGTGGCCTCCCCAGCGCTGAGTGCAGGGCAAGAATCTTACAGCAAAGTGCTTTCTGTGTCCTTCTAATCCAGATTTATTATGATATGTAGTCATCTCAGTGAACAGTAAATGTTATATTAAACCAGAAATCAACTCATGAACCTTTTGTGGGGGCAAGTCCAGAAAAAGTGAAGGGCCACTTTTGGCAACGACAGTGGGACACAGGTAAGGCAGAAAAAGCAGTGGGGTCAGAAGTGGAGGGTACATGAGTCCAAAACAGGCACTGTAAAGTGTTCAGATAAGCTATGAGCTCATCATGTTCCCCAAATGATGTGATGGTCTCAGACAACTTCATTAACTCCTGAAATATCTAAGATCTCTTAGAGTTTCCTGGGAAAGGTGGCACAGCAGTTTTGGAGTCCCCTGGAATTAAACATAAGAAAAACCTCTATTCCAAGTTTTGCAAAGTTTGTTAGGAATAATTGTTCCTGGCTCTTAATCTCCTAGTTGTCCTTCTGTTTGTCCTTCCATACCTAATTTAACTTTTTGTTTCAGAGACACCTACCATTAGTTTGCATCTCCCCATTACTTCTCTTGTCTTTAATCTTCTCTAACTTTAGAGGACTGCATGTGAGAAACTGTAGAGATGAGGGGTAGTCCATTCTCACCTTTCTTACTGCAATAACCCTGTTGTAAACACCATCAGAATTTTCATTAAAGAGGACATGAATTTGAAGAGTCGGGAGATGAATATACTTTAAAACTTTACGTTTAGTCCATCTAAAGGTAATGGCTCATGAATTATGAAAAAAGATGTGCTTCATAAATTACCCAAAACCAGAAAATAACCCCAGAAAGCAACAAAGTGGAAGGCAACAGTGTGTTGGAGTGTAATAATTGATATATGATTTAGAGTTTAGAAAATCCTTCAACTGGAGAGTATAAACAGTTAATTTTATTATATTTATTTTCATACGTGGTATTTTTTCACAGTTTATTAGAAAGTGATGTTGCAGATAGTCGGTTATGCTGTCAATCTGTAGTAGCAGAGTGTGTGTCTGTCTCATTTGATCATGAATTCAGATAATAGAGTAAACAGCACAAAGCAGATAAGGCATTGTCTGTTGAAGAGTGGTTTAAATTTAAAACTGGCAGCACCCTTTGCAGTTAACTTAAAATAATTAAAAATGTCAAATAATGAAAAATACTTAATTTTATCTTCATTATTTTCCAGTTCTCTCACTGACCTTTTTGAAATCTGGTTTTTGGTTGCTTGCTTTGGAGAATGGCTGGATATTGCAGCAGAACAATTACTGAAGGCTGCTGTACAACCAGACCCTTTGCTGTGGCTGCTGGCATTTTACTACTGTCCTCAGAATGAAAACCAACAAAGGACTCAGGCAATGGTGGGTGATGTACGGATAGTAAGTGGCAATGAGCAGTCAATAGTCTATCTCATTGCTATAAAACTAATCATGCACACCAGAAAAAATAAAGGTATTGACTTTACAAGGTCTCCAGGGAATTGTGGCGGTGGAGAAGTAGAAAGATGATGGTTTTGAATTTTTTGTCACATTTAGAAAACATTATTCCTCTTTTTACAGTATGTTATTTAGGTTAGGCTTTCTTTTGGATGAATTGGGGGGGGTGCTTTTAATCACAAGTAAAACTACCCTGGTGATGGCATTTTTTAAATCAGTGTGGCAGAATCCAGCATTCCTGTGTTGTGACATCTTCTGAGAAGAAAACACAGGAAATCACAGTAGCTGAAGCAGAAAAAAATACTTATCAGACACAGCCTTGAATCCTAACCTTGCCTATCTATTCTGATTTCTTTTACATATATTTACTGATTTTTGGCATGTGTGATAATGTAATAAGTAGGTAATACTCCCATATGCTGTATTTCTAACAGAAGGAACAGTGTTCTAACCTTATGCACTTTACTGCAGGAAGAGTGCTGTGTGTCTGTGTATGCATGCAAAATACATGAAAGCCTTTAACTGAAACCTATTATGCAAGTTTGAACTAGCCTAAGCAATCTAATCTACAAAGTCCACATTCAAAATTTGGCTGCAACTTCTCTGGTTTTCCTTAATTTGAAAATGGATTCTGTTTGATTTAAAAATGCAGCTCAGTACACGACACTTTACTTTTACATTTAATGGTCCATGTACAACGGTGTATTGTGCAATATTTTATTTCCTTTCCTCCCCCTCTCACCACCCAGATGGCACTACAAACACAAGATCACATCCCAATCAATCACTTGTGCAATTTTTTTTTAATTTCTTACAGTCTAAGGGGCTGGGATGTTGGCTGAGCGGAGCTGTGTTAGGGCTGTGGTGAAGTAAAGAAATCAGGTTGGCTTTAGAACGCAGTTTTGGGAAAGAAGGCAATATGTAAGCCATAAACATGAGTGGATGAAATTGAAGCACTACAGGTGCAGATCAGTGTGTGGAATATTGTTCCAACTCCAGCCCTAAAGAATGAAGTCACTTTGTCCCATATATGAAATCATTTCCATGTGTGTCCCCTATTCTATCAGTTTGTTATTCTGTCATAATACATGACAAACTTCAGTGAGAAATGAGCTTTTCTACTGACAACCCATGCAGTTACTCACCTTGTCCCAGAGTTCTGATATTTCAGTTCATTATCATTCTTTTCTTAGGTGGCTGAACTAAGACTTTTTTTTTTCTTTTTTTGCATGGATCAGGCTACTCCAGAGACATTCCCAGAGTTCCATGCAAACCCTCTGCCTATGTCTGGGTGTTTGCTTTTTCTCTGAATTAGCCCTTTGGCAGTTTCAAATGAAGTGGTTTCCACCTGAAAACCCCTGCACCATTCACCAGTTAAGGATTAAGATGGCATGGGAAATACTTTTGCTGCTCACTAAACTTCACTCATATGTGCAGGACTAAATACTCTGCTTCTCAGTGAATTTGTTGGAGTCCTTTTATAACTTTAGGTTCTGAAACATTGAAGGAACACTTGGAGGTTGGCACTGAGACTCCTGGGGTACATGAGCTCTCGGAGCAGAGCCGGCTGCTGTCCATCTGCAGTCTGGCACATAGGGGGCACAGAGGGGTAAAGAACCTTGAATTCCAGCTACCTTTCTGTAGATTCTGGTATTCTTTGTGCCTCACATGTAATTGTGGCCTTAATTCAAGAATAGCAGCCTTTTCAGATTGCTTGATGTGAAATTATTAAAGGTGTAGGTCAATGTCTGAAACAAAATTGTCCCAATGAATATGGATGAGAAACAGGTGTCCTTTTCCTTTGGATCTGCAGTGGTGTATTTTTCTATTGCTCCAGCAATTACTCATTTGAGTATTTTCTACAAATTTGTTTGGTTCATTTTTAATAAAGTGAACAGAATTATTGTTAGGATTTTTTGCAGTAGTTGCTTATAGGGTTTTTTCCATTATGTAGGTGCCAAAATCTTCTGTTTTCTACTTTCAGTAAAAACTAGGTTTTATTGGCTAACTCACAACATAAAAACATAAGTTGCAAACAACACAGGAAGAAGGAAAAATCTCCATTCTTACCAGAACATTTTATCAGCTGAGGTCAGGTTGCATGGGGATTTAATTGATTTATAGCAGCAGTGCTGAAATGAGCCCTTGAGGAGCCTCTGTTCTTTTTCCCACAATGCAAAAATCTGACCACGTTCTGCTGAGGGACTTTCTCCATTTCCTTACATTATTAAAAAGGTAAAATCCTGGCTTGACGCCTGTCTGCTCCATTTGTAATACCAAAGAAAATAAAAAAATCCATTCTGTCCACCTCTCTGTGTGTGTGAATCAGTATAAAAGAAATGTGTACAGCCCTTCCTTCCCCGTTTTCCCAGCTAAACTCAAACTCTTTTCATGTTTGGGTAGTTTCTGCCAAGGGTTCAGTTTCCTTTTAGTGAACAAATCCAAAAGAAAAATACCACAGATTTGACCTTTACTCTTCTCTGATCCTGTGTCCTTTGAAATCATTTCCCACAGGTAGAAGTTGAAGCAGTCTACAGTCATCTAATGATGCTCTTCAGCTGTGCAGACCTTTCTCTCAGAGATCTGGAGCCTGCTGTGCACAGGATAACGGGTACGGAGCAGTGCTGTATCCAGCATCTTTTGACACATCTTCTGACCAACTTTCTACTCTTTTCATCTGGTGGACATATGGTTGCCCAGGAATGTATTTACCATGTAAGTGTTTCTTATTTTTTTTTTTTTCCCAGGTTATGTATTTTACTATTTTGGATTCAAGTTTCTACCTTTTAATAAAGAAAACACGTAACAGAGAATTAAGGAGGATTGTCTACAACAGCTATACCTAACTTGCTACAAATCTATCTCAGATACGGTCAATATGTTTCCATCACTTCTTGATAAAATCTCACTGAAAAGGTTGCTGTTCTGACTATGCAGATGAAGAAAGCGTTGAAATAGTAGCTTGCAGTTAAGAGATGGCTACAGATCATTTACATACATCAAGATTGCCTGTGCAAACATGTTGATTCTCCAAGTATAAATCACTGCCTAAATACTCCAGCCACTGCAGAGATGCTGGAACTGTCTTCTCACTGTTTTGCATTAGGTAGAGCAGCTGTTTACCAGGTGTTAGAATTGATGGGAGAGAAGCCTGGTGCTTTAGAAAGTCAAAGAGGACAACAGTGTGGTAATTGAGAGAGAAGGAATGACAGAAGAGCTAAGACTGTGTCTCTTAGGGTGTGAAAAAAGCTGAAGAGGAGTACAAGGTTGGAAGCTTGCCACCGTACCTTCTTGTTGTGGATGACAGGCTTCAGGAATACTGGTGCAGACCTCAAGATGTGTTTGTGTCTCTGAAGACAGTGCTGTATCAGTGTGAGATTAGAAATTCTTTCCTAACTATAAAGCCATATTCCTTGAAGAAGTTCACAACTCCTGTGCAAGCATGTCTAAGGCCAGTGTGTAGTTTATACACTTCCAAAGGTTTTTCCCTTTCAGCAGCAGAGTGCTCTTTATAGGGTGTATTGCATGTGTAAGGCATCTGATTCTTATGATGCAGCTGCCTGAGTAAACAGACTAAATATTTCTCTGTTTAGGAAGGGCTAAGATAATTCTCACATTTTAGGTGCAAGTTTAAAAATGAACAAGTTCTTTTTTAGCATAAGAATGTAGTGATAAAATTGGGGGTGGGGGTGTATATTTACAGTCTGCTACTTCTAGTTTCTCTTGAGTAGTGCAGCTGTTGAGCTGTGATGCTGTAATGGCGCTGAGAGCCATGATCTGGTAATCACAGTGGGGTTGGATCAAGGGTTGAACTTGATGGTCTCGGAGGTCTCTTCCAACCCAGTTAATTCTATATTTCTACAATTCTATGAACGTACTAGCCTGTTACTTTAAACCTTTCCAGAAAAACCAAAGGCAATTTCTTGCTTCTTCATAGAAAGCAACATAACTACCTCTCAAAACTGAGTGTTCCCCAGTGCAGGGTGGTCGTGAGCTGTTGCAGGCCAGAGTTTGTCAGTCTGATTGATTTTGACTGTATCTGTATAATAATTAATGTGTAACTAGGCTCTCCATGTGATATGAAGAGGACTGAAGGCAATATATGAAAGGCAGAATGGTGTGGAACTGATTTGGGCTGCATGGCTGTGGTTTTGGTTAGCACACTGAACTTTGGGTTTAACACAGCAGATAACAAGGAGTAAAGTCCCTCCTGATCTGCAAAAATTGCGACTTAGGATCTTTTCCTGGTATTCTGTCATCTTCTGGGGGAGGGATTTATTTTTCCTTTTGAAAGCTTTACAGAATTGAATTGCTTCCCCTAACACATGCAGAACCTTCCTGTGCTTTTAGTTTTCTCTGGAGATGACTTAGAAATGGTTACAATGTCCATCCATTTGTGTTTCCTTTAAATAGTTTCTGACCTCTTGATTTGTTTCACTTAAACTTGAGAGAACAGTAGTTCTCAAAGTTGCTTGGTTCCACTCAGGTGAATGAGAAGAGAAACCTTGGGCAGAAGTTGCTTCTCATGTGTTCAGTGGTGAGGGACAAATCTGTGGTTTTGTTGTCAATATTAATGGAGAATTTTTAGTATTTAGCAACATAACGGCATTATTTCCCATCTTCTC